ATGTGCACACCCACACACTTAGTATCTTCATGTATAACTCTACCTCCTCATGGTATGTGCACACCCACACACTTAGTATCTTCATGTATAACTACCTCCTCATGGCATGTGCACACCCACACACTTAGTATCTTCATGTATAACTCTACCTCCTCATGGCATCTGCACACCCACACACTTAGCTATCTTCATGTATAACTTTCCCTCCTCATGGCATGTGCACACCCACACACTTAGCTAACTCCATGTGTAACTCTTTCCCTCCTCTCAACTGTTTCCCTCCTTTAGGCTCCTTTACAACGGAGATTCTTTGAGCAATTCCACCTTTCCCAGTGTAGTTGGAGACCATGTGTTTATACGCTCTAGTTCCTGGCCTCCACTGTACTAGCCTCTGTAACAAAAGTGCCGTAGATTTAGCAATTTATAAACAGAAAAATGTACTGCTCATGGTTCTGGAGGTGGAGCAGTTTAACATCAAAGCACCGGGAAACTCAGTATCCGGTGAAAATTATCATACCATTATCATATCATGGCACCCACATGTGTCCTCACATGGTGGAGAAACAAAGGGTTCCCCCTAGTACTGCCACCTCCTCCAGTACCATGTCACCTTCTGGGTGAAGGTTTACATTTGGATCTGAGAAGAAGCACTGAGACCACACCAACCAGATAAGCTCTGCAGGGATAAGCATGTGATCCTAGTGTTGGCTTTAAATTCTTTCCATTAACATATAAGGATACTATATTGTATTGATTGAGCACAAATGAAGACTATACAGTGCACATAGACTGTATTCTTATTTTATCTGTGGCCCACCTGGCTCTCTGTATGGCTGGAGGGTCCCTTGGGATAAACTACACAGCTCAGATTTCTCTGGGCCTAGTGCTTTGAAGCAAGCCACCACGCATGTCATTAGAGCTGACACTTATTCTCCTCAGTCATGCTGATGCTGTGTTTTCATTGACAGGCACGCTCTGGATATTCGAGAGCACTATGAGAGAAAGCTCGAACGGGCTAACAATCTGTACATGGAACTGAGCGCCATCATGCTGCAGCTGGAGATGCGGGAGAAGGAACTCCTTAAGTGCGTACTCAGCCCAGGCCCCGTCTTTGCTGCTTTGTCTTTCGGTCAACAGGACGAGTTGCTCTTGTGTGGGAGATGTGTTGTTCTTGTGTGGGGCCGCTACAGTGGACATGTAGATATTTTCATTACTTAGTCAACATCCCTTAAGGACTTGGGTGAGACATACAATCGGGAGTTGCTGCAGGTGTGATACGGGCACACTCACTGGGCTAGCATGTGTACTTCACTCTCCCACATGGTTCAGAGAGGGCCTTAATTTTCAGAAGAACTTAGTGTGGATGAACAGGAACTTTCTGACTGTTGAAGAATAAAGTACTGCTGGAAACTGTCTAAGGGATCCCTGATGGTACCAAAATGACCAGGGGTTCTTGGCCCCAAATAAGCAAAGCTTCTGTCCTTTATCACATTGGGGAAGAGGAAGATCATACATGAGTTTGAGCTAAGAACAGAATAAAGTTGAGTTAATTTAAATTCAGTACCTTCAGTGTGTTTGCCTAAACTTGAGTAGCATCCTGGTTGTACAATGAGCTAGTATCTGTTAAGTGTGGCCAGAACCTGTAGGCAAATAAAGATACTCTGCACTGACCACACCCCTCTGTCGCTGACCACGCCCCCTCTGTCACTGACCACGCCCTTCTCTGTTTAAAAGACAATTTATTGTACACATTTTATTTGCAATTTTATACACTATATTAATATGAATGGGACCTCTTTTCTACTTGAGGCATTTTTCAAATTAGTTATTTGAGAATTTTCCTAGAATGAGCTGAGTTTTGACCATATTCAGTCATACCCATCTGCTCCCAGACTTCCCTACCCATCCAACTTTATGCCCGCTATGGCCAGTATTAAAGAAAGCCAGCCCCCCTCCCTTCGACTAGCCGAAGCTCCTTGGCTTAGGGATGGGACTTCATGTCGGACTCTTCCTCCTTGCTAGGGCTTAGGTTGAGCTTGCACAAGGCTGGTGCATGCTGTCAGATCCGCTTTAAATTCATGTGTGTGACTATCCTGCTGTCTCCTGAGGACACTGTTCTCTGTGTTTGTTCAGCACCTCTGGCTCCTGCAGTCTTTCTGCCCATTTTTCTGCTGTGATCGCTGAGCCTTTGGGAGGAGAGGGCACCATGTTTATGTTCCCTGTAGGGCTGAACACTCCACAACAGCCTCTTATGCTCTGCACCTTGGCCAGCTGCAGGCCTCTGTGTTAATCACTACCTACTTCAAGCAGAAGCTCCTCAGATGAGGGTAGAGAGATGCATAAATCTAAAGGTATAAAGAAGTCACGAGGAGTCGACTGGATACTATGTTCATTTAGTAGAATACTAGGAGGCTCTTCTTGAGGGCCTGTGACCAATTTAGCCAGAGATGCTCAGCCTGAAAATGATGCCAGCTGTGGGCTTCATCTCACGTCAGATGAGAACACAGTTATTACTCCTATGCTGTTTGCACCACTACTGCACCCGTGAGCATGCCGTGCCAGGATGGTGATTGTTGTAAGATCGATAACCACTTTCCTCCACCAGTAGCATATACAGAACCATCCAGCACTCTGAAAGCTAGCCAATAGAGACGGGGCTTCCAGGTCAGTAATGTTAATGTTCCTATATAATTCAAATACAAGCTTTTCAGCAATGGGGTCTTATTGTCAAGTTCTGGAGGGTAGCCAAGAGAATTGGCAACAACGTTTTAGATCTAGGGAAGCTAAGTGGAGCCCCAGACTACAAAAGTAGTCTTTGTATTTGTTAGCCAGTGGCATCTAGTGCCAATGAAGACACGGGTGAACCTTTATTGGGTAACTATATTCTCTCTCTGTCTCTCTGTCTCTCTGTGTGTGTGTGTGTGTGTGTGTGTGTGCGTGCGCGCGCGCGTGCGCGCGCACATGTTTGCATGTGTAGATTTCCATTTAATTGTTTTGAGATGAGATGTTTCTGGGGTTTCCATATCCTTTCCATATCCCCTCCTCTACCCGGCTTTCTCATTCCCATGCCAGTTTAACCCGTCCTGTTCCGTTCAGCCTCCTCAAGCTTTTTTTTTTTTTTGGTTTTTCGAGACAGGGTTTCTCTGTGTAGCCCTGGCTGTCCTGGAACTCACTCTGTAGACCAGGCTGGCCTCGAACTCAGAAATCCGCCTGCCTCTGCCTCCCAAGTGCTGGGATTAAAGGCGTGCGCCACCAACGCCCGGCTCCTCCTCAAGCTTTTACACCACTGCTTTGTACCTCCTGTCCCTTTAAAGCCCCGCACTGGGCTGCACTCCTCAGTGTTTTCCTGACCTCTTGTAAATGTTTTTTTCATGTAAATTGTAAATTTTTGTTCTTGTAAATTGTTTCCTGACAATTGTAAATGGTTTTTATTTTATTTTATTTTTAAAAACTTGTTTGTATATTGTGGTTATTTTGCCTGCATCTGTGTCTGTGCACCATGTGTATGCAGTACCCACAGAGGACAGAAGAGGGCATCAGATCCATTGGATCTGGAGTTACAAATGCCTGTGGATATTGGGAATCAAACCCAGATTTCTAGAATAGTCATTGCTCTTAAGTGCTCAGCCATCTCTCCAGCCCCATTTTGGTTTTTTCTTAATAGATGAATAATAGTTTGTTTGTAAGTGTATCACCTTTTCACTATCCACTCACTGATTCATGGGTATCTCGGCTGTTTCCGTTTCCTGACTGTTGTGACTGACGCAGGACTGTGCATGGACGAGTGGGCATCTCTGTAGCAGGATATGGAGTGCTTCGTGTATATGACCAAGAGTAGCATAGCCGAGTCACATGATAAATCTATTTATGGCTTTTTGAGGAAATGTTACACTGGTTTCCATGGTGACTGCACCAGTGTGCACTCCCCCATCAGTGAATAAGTGTCCCCCTTTCCCTACATTGATGACAGCATTTTCTGTCATTTGTTGGAAGAAGGGGGTAATCTTAGATGTTCTGATTAGGATAAGATGATTAGGAGGGTGTTGTCTAGTTCCACAGTTGCCATCTTTGATCAATCTCTGTCCTACCTTTCTGTCTACAAAAATCAAAGAGTGTCTTTTTTCCTTTGTCTCACAGGCGAGAGCAAGCAGTGGAAAAGAAGTATCCTGGCACCTACAAACGACATCCTGTCCGACCAATCATCCACCCAAATGCCATGGAGAAGCTCATGAAAAGGAAGGGTGTGCCTCACAAGGCTGGGGTGCAGACTAAGCGGTGAGCCCACTGCGACCATGCATCTGATATGACGCCCAGGAAAGGTGGTCTCAGAGTAGGGGTGGGGGGCATTTTGAGCTCACCAGCTGCATACTGGGCTGTAGATGAAACCACACAGGAAGATAAGGGAGAGCATGGAACAGACCCCAGAAGTCTCACTTTTACTCTCGAGGCACTTTGTCTTAGCACCACGTACAGGGAAGAGAAGCTTACGGCAAGGACAGGCAGACCTGTGTTGGCATCCAGCCCATGTCGCTCTGTCTCTTTCAACACCAGTATCCTCATGGGTAAATGGTATCATGTGGCACATGGGATTTCTTTCCATTCTTGTAACCCTCAGAAACAGACCTGAGTCATCCAGTTCTTGATTTTGACACAGTGATCTGTGCATTTTTATCAGTATGCTTACTTTGCTGCTGCTGCTATTGTTGTTGTTTTGTTGTTGTTGTTGTTGTTGTTGTTGTTGTTCTTCTTCTTCTTCTTCTTCTTCTTCTTCTTCTTCTTCTTTCTCCTCCTCCTCCTCCTTCTTCTCCCCTCCTCCTTCTCTTTCTCCTCTTCCTATTCCTCCTCCTTCTCCTCCTCTTCTTCCTCCTCATCCTCATCCTTCTCTTTCCCCTCCTCCTCTTCTACCTCCTCCTTCTCTTCCTCTTCTTTCTCTTCTTCCTCCTCCTCATCTTCCTCTTCTTTTTCCCCCTCCTCTTCCTCCTCCTCCATCTTCTTCTGCAGTTGTCCAGACTGGCCTCAAACTCAATGTCCTCCTGCCTCCACCTTTTAAGTAGCTAGGGTAGTAACATATGTATTTGATTGCACCCAGCTGTGAAGTTTGAATATCATGAAATCAACCTTTCGGGCACTGGTGTTCAAAATCAGGGTTTAACCTTTAAGAGATCACTCTTTCCCCCATTTACTTGCTGCTTGGTTGTTTGGTTGTTTGGTTGGTTGGTTGGTTGGTTGGTTGGTTGGTTGGTTGGTTGGTTGGTTTTTTGAGCTAGCATTTCTCTGTATAGCCCTGGCTGTCCTGGAACTCATTCTGTAGACCAGGCTGGCCTCAAACTCACAGAGATCCACCTGCCTCTGCTTCAAATGCTGGTATTAAAGGCATGCACCACTACTGCCTGGTTTCTTTTCTCTTTTCTAACACTTGCTTTATATTGGTTTAATCTCAGTAGTAGAGAGTGGAGATACATCTCTGTAGAGTGTAGGCATAGCATGCTTGAGGCCCAAGTTTGATGCCTAGCACCTTTGAAAACATCTTAAAATACCTTTCAGTCTTTTGGGAATTACCAAATGCCATTGAGCCTTATGATTCTCACATGCCAAAGAACTAGCTCCACCCCAGACAGGTTAATGGAAGGAAAGAACGTCCCAAGCCTGAGCTTGTAAGACTTGAACCAAATACAGTAAGAAAACAAAAAGGAGAAAACATGGGCCAAGAATGTGTTTTTAACTTTTAAGTACAAATAAGAAAGTAGCAGGGGGGTTTATGGCATTTTCATGCATGCTTAGCTCTCGTTGACCCTACCACTGTCTTTTCTCTTCCCCACCTCCCATATTCCTGCTCCCAACCCCTGCTTAAACCCTATCTCCCCTCCTGGCTCATAGAGATGTATTCTGTCCACCTCTCCCCCCCCATCCCCCCCACACACACACACACTCCTCTCCCCGAAAGCCCTTCCCCTGACTCTCTGGGGCCTCTTCCTAGTTTCCTGACCTCCACACATGCTCACTGGCATGTAAATACACGTGTCTACATCTGAAGCCGGGATCCACATATGACATAGAACATATTTGTCTTTGAGCCTGGGTTACCTTAATAGTTTTCAGATCCATCTCTTTTCCTGAATTTTCCATAATTTCATTTTTCTTTACAGCTGAATAAAATTCTGTTATGCACATGTAGTGCATTTCCATCACCCTGTGTTCTGTTGATGGGTCACGAGGCTGCAGTAAACATGTGTGGACATGATTCTCTGTAGTAGGGCACGCGGTCCGTCAAGTATTTCCACAGGAGAGGCAAAACTGGTCATGTGGTGACTCTAGCTGTAGCTCTTTGAGGATCTCCTTGGTCTCCACCACAGCAGCACCAGTTTACACTCCTGCCAACGATAAATAAGTGCCTCCTCACAGCCTTGCCAGCAGCACTGGCTGCCATTTGTTTATCTTGATGAGAATCACTGACTGAAGTGAGAAGGAACTTCAGAGTAGTTTTGGTGTGTGTGTGTGTGTGTGTGTGTGTGTGTGTACAGATGTGCACAGGTGTTCAGCTGCATATATATGTACATATAGAGAGGAGAGGTCATTCTTGACGTGTTCCTCGTGACATCTACATTGGTTTTTGGGGGTTTTTTGTTGTTTGTTTGCTTGATGTTTGTTTTGAAACAGGGTCTCACACTGGCCTAGAGCTCACTAAATAGGCTAGGCTGAATCTACCTGTCTCAGCCTCTTCCTTCCCCTAGCCCCACTCAACTCCACTCCAAGCTGAGGTTCCTTTTTTTAAACAAGGGTGGTGGGGATCAAACTCATTTCCTCAAGTTTATGTGGCAAGCACTTTGCTGACTGAGCCACTTCCTTTTGACCACTTCAGAATCTTCATTGTCCAGTCTTCCTTTGAAGATATTCTATTCAGCTCCTTACCCTATTTATTTTAATTTGATCTCTTCCTGTTTTTGGGGGGGCTCTTTGTTTTTCTCCACACTGACCCCTGTCAGATCTATAGCTGTTCTGAAGGCTTCATTCAGTTACCTTGTTTCCTGCATTGTGGAGACACTTTAATTTCATGAGGCCCCACTTGTCAGTGTTGCTTTATTTCCTTAGTGCTGTGCAAAAGTGCACATTCTAGCTTAGAACTCTCCGGTCCTAATGTCTAATAACCATAAAAGTGCACGTTCCAGGATAGAACTCTCCCGTCCTAACATCTAATGACCACATGGTGAACTAATTCCAGGCTTCTGTTTGCTTATCGTCCTGACCATCTTCTGCTCACTGGCTGAGAAGCTGCTTTCACAGATAGCTGGCACAACCCTCGTTTTAGTCTTTTGTGGTACTAATTAGGGACAGCTCACCTACCAACTCTTCTCTGCCTACAGTTTTAAGACCAAGTGTGCCCAGGAAGCAAAAGGGACTATGTAACTTAAAACTGTGAGTTGAGCCGGGCAGTGGTGGCGCACACCTTTAATCCCAGCACTTGGGAGGCAGAGGCAGGTGGATTTCTGAGTTCAAGGCCAGCCTGGTCTACAGAGTGAGTTTCAGGACACCCAGGGCTATTGTCTCTGTCAGAGATGGAAGTGTTAGATTATTTAGATGGTTAAGTCATTTCCAAGTTGGAGATTTGGAGACCTTGGGAGAGAAGTTGGAGAGAAAAGAAAAGGTCTTCTCAAACTGTTTCCCATCAGTCACCATCTGAAGCCCAAATTCCAGTTTACCATTTAGTCAAAAACTAGAAGGGTGTTGGGTTCCATTTACTTTTTGTTGCTATGATAAAACATTGACCAAAACCAACTTGAGGAGGCGGGGTTGTCTTACAGCCCAGGAAAGCCTCAGAAGGAACTTGAGAAGGAACCTAGAGGCAGGAACTCAAGCAGAGACCCTGGAGGAATAGCACTGACTGGCTCGTCCCCAGGCTCACATTCAGCTGCCTTTCTTACACAGCCCAGGCTACACTTGTCTAGGAATGCCTTGCCCACAGTAGGCTGGGCTCTTCCACATTAACAGTGAAGAAAATAACTCAGTTATACCCATAGGCATATCTAATGGAGGTAATTCTTCACTTAAGAGTCCCTCTTGGGACGATGTGTCAAACTGACAACCAAGATTGGCTGCCATGGTTTCATGGTACAGTCCTCCCAGCCTGTCTCCCAAGACTTCAGTAAGTGCATAGAAGTCTCAGGTGGGGAAAAACTGTCCCAGAGTCAAAGACTCCAGGTCAAAGAATCATCTCAGCTTGGTGATGACAAGCCACTCCACTGTTATACCCAATGGCACTCTGAAGTTGTAATCACTGTGATGCCATGAGGCAGGCACTTTACGTACATGAGAAATTTTGCAGGCTCCCCCTTGTGAGGTTTGTGGGTCTGTGTCCCCACTTTCTCCTCAGCTCTCCTTTGGATGCCCCACAGCCCGTTACCATGCAAGCGCATGCTACCCAGCTCTGGAGAGCTCCCTTGTCTCAGTAGAAGCCCGTGAAACTCTCACCCAGGTCCCCTCTACAGCACAGGCTGACCAGCAACACTGTCTCCCGTGCTCTGGGGCTGGCATAGTGGCGTCTCGGATGCCTCGGCTGAGCTAGGAAGGACTAGGGCAGCATGCAGAAGGGCTGCTGCCTGCCTGCTTCCAACAAGGGCCACCACATCCGGTGCCTCGTAATCAGCTGAGAGAGTATTTCTGCTGTTTATAAATGGAATGTGTGGACCTTCCAACTCTAAAAGTTCCTCTTGCTTTGTGTGTTGTCTGGTCCTAGACACAGAGCACTGCTCAGGAACTGCTTGCTTACCTGTGGGCTCAGATCTACTTCCATGCTCTGGCTCCCCCCACAACCCCCGCCCCCCCCCCCAAATGTGACCCTCATGGCTGGTCCTGTAGCACTGGAACACATTGAGTGAGGCTTCCTCCCATTAGGATAAAGTAGAATGTTAGGTTGGAGACATGGCCTATTTGGTAGCGTACTCTTATGACAGTCACAAAGTCCCAGGTTCGGTTCCCAGCATGGTATAAACAGCCACAGTGACACATGCCTGCAATCGCAGCAATTAAGAGGTAGAGCAGGATAATTAGCTCAAGGTCATCCTCAGCAAAGTTCAAGGCCAGCTGGGGCAGGGAACCCAGTCTCAGAAGGGAGGAAGAAGCAGACAGAGGTCTACTGTCTCTTCTCAGCAGCCCTCTTTTGCTGCCTCTGCCTAACTTCCTGGGTTCCCTTTCCCTCCCCTTTGCCGCCAGCCTTTAGGACCATTGAGTTCCTGCAGTAAATAAGATCCCCTGCTAGGACCAGTCATATACAAAGATGGATAAAGCATAGTCCGTGAGACCATGTCCAGGCCGAACTCGTTAAACAGTTTAGACCTTGCCTGTTGAGCCTGAGGTTTGTTCTGTGGTACCATACCTTTCCTTTGTGATGGACAGCATGCCCAGGTGCATCATTAGTCTGATGTCTGATGTGAGCATGCTCCTATACCTTTCCATGTCAGTTCCAAGCTGACAGTCAAGATCACAAGGAAGACATTAAGGACCTTGGGGGACAGAACTCTGAAGAATGAGTGCAGAAGTTAGCAACTCAGAATCCAGAGAAATAAAAGCTACCAGTAAGACAGCTTAACTGGTAAAAGAACACAAAGTTGATGACCTGAGTTCAATCCCCAGATCCCATGATGGAAGGGGCGGGCCAACTCCCCGAATGCTGTTCTCTGGCCTTTATACATGTACTGTGGAACATACACACATACACACACCAACCTATATACTCTCCACAATAATAAATTTATTTAAATTAAATAGTTTAACTTAAAAATAAGAAATCACTGTAAGGGAACATCTAGATTGTTTCCAGTCTTTTGTTGTTTTGAACATCCAACATTAAACAGCTCTCTTGTGTCCATCTGTGGCCTCCAATGGATAAATCCCTGTGTCTGTGAGGGCTGACTGAAAGGGTGTATGAATGAAGCCAGGAAGGTGGCTCGCTCTGATAGCTCCAGGACCTGGGAGGCTGAAGCAGGATGATTGCCACGAGTTTGAGACTAACCTGAGCTACGGAGTAAGACACTCTCTCAAACAAACATACATACAATAACAACAAAGGTTTTGGGGCTGAGGGTGTAGCTGAGCAATAGGATGCAAGACACTGGATTTGATCCCCAACATTGCAAACTTATAAAGTACTGTAAAGCTTGGCATATTTAACCCCAGTATTAAACATGTTTTGATGTGTTTGAAACAAATCTTTTCTCCTTGCCAGGCCAGACCTCTTGCGATCCGAAGGCATCCCTAGTACAGAAGCGGTTCCCACTGCATCCCCTCTGTCTGGAAGTCCCAAAATGTCCACCGCAAGCAGCAGGAGCCGGTACCGAAGCAAACCACGTCACCGCCGAGGGAACAGTAGAGGCAGCCACAGCGACTTCGCAGCAATCTTGAAAACTCAGCCCACCCAGGAAAATTCACCCCACCCCACCTACCTACACCACACTCAGGCTCAGTGTGCTTCTGTCCATCAACATAATCCTCTCCAGCAGCAATACCAGCAACCCCCTCCTACCCTGCCTCAGAGCCGCCATCCCAGACTCAATGCGCATGGGCAGGACATTGCAACCTGCGCCAATAACCTGAGGTACTTTGGCCCAGCAGCAGCCCTACGGAGTCCACTCAGCAACCATGCTCAAAGACAGATGCCTGGCTCTAGCCCCGACCTCATCTCCACAGCCATGGCAGCAGATTGCTGGAGAAATTCTGAACTTGACCAAGACCAAGTTGGACCCTGGGGTTGCTGTCAGGCTGAACCCTATGATCCCTGTTTCCAGTGCAGGCCAGAACATTCTGGGTCTTTAGAGCTTCCCACTACTGAGCCAGTGGGGAGGAGCCCAGACCGGTCCAGTTCACCAGCGCACACTCCTCTTTCAGGAAATGCCCAAGGCTCTGAGAGAACGGAGGCAAACGGATTCAATGGCTGTCAGTCTGGTATTTCTCATCAATTCACACCCCCAATGCTACCTCAAAAGACACGGCCCCTTCAGAAGGTAAGGTTTAACAAGAGCAGACTGTCTCTGCCATCAAAGGATGTCAGAGACAGTCATGTGACGCACATTATGAAATAGGACATTTAAAGATGTGCATTGGGAAAAGACTTTCCTTACACAGGACTTCAGTAGTGGGCCAGGGAGTTCATTTGGGGGATTACTGAACTGGGAGACTGGGATAACCATATTTTAAAGACATAGTCAACAAGTTTGGACACTGTTGTCCTAGAACTCCAGTCTGAGCGATGTCACAAGGAAGTTCAGGAAATGGAGGTTCCTGGTGTGCCATCGCAAACATGATCTTGGAGAAGTCACACAATAAACTGTCATCCAGCATTTCCTGCATCCATTTGACTATCCAGCCCTCTAAAACTTGTGCTTCTAATCCCCCTTGGCACTAATGCTTTTTACAATATTCTTTAGAAAACATTAACAACCATCTTGACCCAGCTAGTTCTAAGTTGTAACCCATTTGTCTCCTCTACTGGCTGCCTGGCAGTCCTCTGTGGAGCTAGGGATTCTAAGCTTGGGAGTCAGACAGTTCAAAGTGAGGGTTCTGCACCTAGCACCTCTGTGAATCTGCCACTGTCTATACGAAGGCCAATAGTGGACTCAGCTATGCTTCTTGATTTGAAGACTATGTGGATTCATGTCCAGAATAGTATCTGGAATTCAGCCTGCTTAAAAAGTTACATTGTCTTGCTACGGTTTCTATCAAAGATTGTTGTGAGAAGTATTTGGAACATGTAAACGTGCAATTCTGAACATTGCTTTAGCTCATTGTCACTGTTGAGAAAAGGAAAGGAAAGCTGAGTGTGTTTGGTCAACTGGATACTTCATGAGAAAGGAGTGGAGGCTGTGACTACATACTGTCTCAGATCTGTGTGTCTGTCCACACATGCCACTGCTGCTGCCTGAGCAGAGGTTCATGTGTGCCGTCAGGTGATGCACTTGGTGTGAGCTAATTCATTCTGCAACTCCCTAACTCCTGGAACCAGTAACAAGAGTCCTTCCATTTAAACTTTACAGGATGGCTGGTTGGTTAGTTGATTTGGTCTGGTTTGGTTGAGTCTGGGGATGAGGGACTGGGAGTTGGAAAGACAGAGTCTTGCTGTATAGCTCAAGCTGGTCTCAAACTCAGAATTCCCCTGTCTCAGCCTCCTATGTGCTAGGATTATAACATACACTGTAGCTGGTCTTTGCTATTTTGTGGGTTCTTTTTCCCACCCTTTGTCTGCCTTCTTCAGGTTTCTCCTCTTAACACTATTTAGGAAGAGACAAAAACCAGAGGGAGAAAGAAATTAGAAAAATCCCTGAGTCTAGTTTCTTTCCTCTTGTTTATTCTTTGAGTACAATTACTAACAAACCACAACCAACCCCCTCACTGAATGATGAACAATCACCCACCCTACCTATCGGGGCTCTGGCATTTATATACCCTCTGAAAAGTTTTCAGAATTCCAGATGTCACACAATTGCAGAAATTATCTGCAGCTGGCAAAACCATGCTTCTTCTGCTAGAGCACGAGGCAAATCATAGTCAGCTGCTTCAGACAGTCCAAGGCAGCCCCACATCCCTCCCTATACCTAAGATTAAAAACAAAAGCACATTCTTACAATATCTTTGAGGTTTTTAAAGAAGCCAAAATTCCAAATTGTCACTACAATATCCCCCCATACCCATCTTGGTTTGTTTGATGGCAGATGCCTTTGCCCCCAGCCGTCTTGCCAGCCTTGACCTAGTTCAACGCTTTTTATCTACATTATTCTATAGCCATTGCAACGACCAATTTTAAAACATCTTCATCAACCTCAAAAGAAACCCACATCTTTTCTTAGTCGTTCCACATCGTACGTGCCTTTGAATGACCTCGCTGCCGTTGTGATGCCGTGTGTGGCTCTGCAGCCCCGAGCACACAGCACATTCAGCTTTGTTGGAACTGCACACCCCACAGACACTCAGCCTCTCTTTCCAAAGATGCACTTCAGTGGGTGTTCTAATACAACTGTTCATCTTGACAATGAGGACAACTCTATGCCTGTCTTTCCTATTAAAAACAAAACAACAACAAACCAAACATGTCAAAAATACAATGAATACGATTGTGATATTTTAGAACAGGCTTTTAAAAATGTAAATTACCCTCAACCTTTGGATCATTCCCACTGGCTCAGGGGTGGGACCCTCTAAGCTCCCAGGAGACTCTGTAATCCAGGGTATTGTAGTGCTGGGGTGAGAGCATTGATCTTACCTGTGGTTGATTTTCTGCAGTTGGTGTCAGATGAGATCTTCCCCTTGGGGAAGATCAGCTGTCAGCCGAGCACTTAGACAGCTCTTCATGTCAGCCACAGCCTGCAATCCTCTCAGTGGTCTCAGCCAGAGCACTTTGTCTCCACCAGCATGTGGACTCAGTAAAAATGCCTGGAGACTCCCCCCGCCTCTCCCTCCCTTTTTTTAAGTTGGAAAGTAATGACACGCATTTGTGTGATTGCACCTTCAATAAACTGCTGTACTGGAGTTGAGTATGAACGAGGTACAGTCTGGGGTTTAAACACTGTATGTCTTGATGTAGCTGTAGTATTAGTGATGAAACAGTTGCTATAGAAACAGGAAAGCACTTGCTGGGCTTTGCAGAACTAAAAGCACCTAGGTGGAATTTCTATGAAAGACCCTAGAACCACACTTGTCCAACAGTTACAGGACAGTGTCCCAAATCCATGACCTCACTGGCTTCCTCTCTGGGACCTCTACCTCCTGAAGGCAAAGAGGAAGTCGTGTCTTCTAGCACCTGGCCAAGGGCCTATTGTCATGGACACAGAGCACACTGCTGCTGAATGGGTGGATGTGGATGTGTTGGTTTGGGCTGCTCTGTTTTGATATTGGGGAGTTGTTTGTTTTATCTGGGAGCTGCTTTATGGTTTTTGTTGTTTGTTTTGAGACAGTGTTTGACTAATTAGTAGGCCAGGAACTCACTATACCTGAGAGCTGTCTGCATCCACCTGCCTCAGCCTTTTGAATGGTAGGATTCCATTTGTGAGCTACCCTACCCAGATGTGGATGGACATGTTTAAAGAGGCCTTAAGCAGGGTATCAGTAACCTTCTCTGGATGAAGATTAAACCTGTGAGAGGCAAGGAGGGATAGGGAAGAGGGAAGATTCTAAAACCAACAAAGCCTTTCTCTCCTTGTCCTCCTCAGAGTGGAGATGACTCCTCAGAAGAGGAAGGAGAAGTGGACAGTGAAGTAGAATTTCCCCGACGACAGAGGTAAGGCCTGCACGAGCTGTGTTCGGTGTAATGAGAATACCCTGCATGTGCTACCCCTGGCTCAGCCAGAGGCCCTCTGCAGCCACCAGACATGGAAACTAAACCAAGTGCTGATATCTTCCCATCACCATGTCTGAAAGTTGCCTCTGCACAGGATGTCATGGGTCATCAGATTCATGTCCAGAGAACTTCACAGTGAGGAGCAGAGTACAGACCCACTGTCACACTGCAGAACACAAAGTCTTCTTTGGGAGGAGTGGTACTGGTTTGCGGTGACTGATGGTTTCCAATGGGCCTCCTTGAGATAGGCTGTTCATGCTGCTGGAGTCAAGTATCACACTCAAGAGTGTTTATGGAACATTTATTTCTTCCAGTCACGGAAGCCGGAAAGCCCGAACTCACAGGGGTGGCGATTCCCATCCCACTAGGCACAGCTTGCTCCCTACCTTGCAGATAGCCACCTCTTCCTGTGTCCTCACATGGGAAAGATGGGTAAATAACAGAGTGTGGGAGGGCACAATTCAGTCCACAGCTCCTCTCTACTTCTGTATATGTTTCCTACCAAGCTTGACCTTCAGTCTTCCTCTGGGTCTGGAGGTCAGTTTCCTGTCACTCTGGGTAACAGATAAGGCGGGAAGAGACTCATGCTCTGCTTACATTTGCCTGGTTTCCCTGTTTGCAGGCCTCACCGCTGCATTAGCAGTTACCAGTCATACTCAACATTTAGCTCCGAGAACTTCTCTGTGTCTGATGGAGAGGAGGGCAACACTAGTGACCACTCGAACAGTCCCGATGAATCAGCCGACAGACGGCAGGACCACCTGGCAGAGGCCCTGGACGACCTGCTGTCCCAGACACCCGAGGCCCCCATCGAGATCTCCTCCCACTCAGATGGGCTGTCTGACAAGGAGTGTGCTGTTCGGCGCGTGAAGACACAGATGTCCCTGGGCAAGCTGTGTGCCGAGGAGCGCGGCTACGAGGTGGGCACCTCTCATTCCTCACTCCACTGTGCCGTCTGGTTGTTCTGCGGTTAGAGTATTTTCCTAGTTTGCTCTCTGTTGCTATGATACATACTATGACCAAAAGCAACTTAGGGAAGAAAGGGTTTATTTCAGCTTACAGCTCACAGTCCATCACTGAGAGAAGCCAAAGCAGGACCTAAAGCAGAGCAGGAGCCTGGAGGCAGGGCCTGAATGAAGCAGGGGCCATAGAGAAAGGCTGCTTGTTCCCATAGCTTGCTCAGCTTGCTTTTTTTTTTTTTTTTTTTTTGGTACAGCCCAAGTCCAACTGCCCAGGGGTGGTCACCACTATCAATCAAGAAAACACTCCACAGACTTGCCTACAGGCCAGTCTGATGAAAGCATTTTCTCTCTCTCTCTCTCTCTCTCTCTCTCTGTTTTTTTTTGTTTTTTTGTTTTGTGTGTTTTTTTTGTTTGTTTGTTTTTTTGTTTTTTTGTTTTTTGTTTTGTTTTGTTTTGTTTTGTTTTTCAAGACAGGGTTTCTCTGTGTAGCCCTGGCTGTCCTGGAACTCACTCTGTAGACCAGGCTGGCCGCGAACTCAGAAATCCGCCTGCCTCTGCCTTCCAAGTGCTGGGATTAAAGGCGTGTGCCGCCACCACCCGGCTGAAAGCATTTTCTCAATTGAGGTTTTCTCTTCACAAATGACTCTAGCTTGTGTCAAGGGGAGAGGGGGAACCTAACCAACACAAGTATGTTCATGCCTCAGGGGTTTTATAATTTTTATTCAGTAGATAAAGTATACACTGTCTCCACAAAGTACATGAAGGTGTGTAGTCTCGGGGCTCCCTGAATAAAGGCAGTGTCTCACAAATGAGGCAGAGACATGGAATGTTGAAGAATCCTTACCTCCTCACTCCATCTTCCAGTCCCATTAAGGGACTGAGTATATTTCTGTGCACACCAGGCTCTCCTCGGAAAGACATTGCCGCAGAACAGAAGACACTGTCTCTTATGTAGACTAGTACAGCCTTTGGAGAGTCAGGAAAGTATGGTGCTCTTCACTGTAAAGCCTACTAGACTCAGACCGCCTAGATGCAAGCCCCATCACTCTACCTACTGTGTGACCTTGAGCAAGTTGCTTACCCTCTCTGAAGGTCAATCTCCTTACCTGTAAGATGTGTGATTTCTATCAAATCTGTGAAGAATGATCTCTTTCAGCAAGTGAGTTGATCAGATTAACAGTGAGTGGTACCTGGGGCACTGGAATGCTCTGGGAATGAGGATGTGGGGACCTGCTACAGGGCACCTCCACTGTCAGCATCACCAACTTTATATAGCTATGTTCTCCATGCAACCCCAAGAACAGGCCCAGCCTCGTTTATCTTTGTCAGCTCCTATAGCATGAGTAGTGTTAAACTCGCCTTCAGTGAGGGCTGTAGTGAGCTGACACATGGAAATGTTCCGCATGCTGTCGCTGACGGTTGTGGAAGAGAATTAAGAGCTCTTGTCTGAACTTTGCAGAATCCTGTGCAGTTTGGAGACTCAGACTGTGACTCTTCAGAGGGCGAGTGTTCCGACGCCACAGTTAGGACCAGCAAGAACTACAGCTCTGCCACCTGGTGACAAGGGCTCTCCATCAGGTCTTAAGACTGGCAATCTCCTCTCCAGCAATAGACTCCTCCCTCCTTCATCTGTCTGGGAGGAGTGGCCCAGTCCCAGAAACAAGCCACAGTGACAGGAACATGAGACTTGTCAACTCTCTGGGAAATACCCAAATGAAACTACGTCTCACTGAGCATTTCAATCAAGAATGGCAGGGATCTATTGTACTGAATTCTCCAGCTACTGTAACATTGATATTTATTTTTGTTGGACATTTTAACACTTTGTATTGTAAAGAGTGAACTATATATGATACAGACACAATAATTTCTTTACAAAAAAATTAAGGAAATGTTGCTCTTAGGAGCAACATTTGGAATTTGTGGGTCCAGGTGTCACTGTCACTTGAACATGGGACCGGATCTTTCATCCATGTTGAAGAGTTGTAAGGGGACATGTTAAACATTGAAAACACAAGCCAAAGGATCACAGCCACATTAAGGTCAATTGGCTTGTCCATTCGAAGGATGGAAACGACCTGGAGGTTGAGTGATCTCATAGCACCACTGCCGTGGAAGGCATGTGCTTCCTGTAGGAGGAAAGAGCACACAGAGCTATAAGTGCACATCTGGAAGCCATTTTGTTTCTTGAGCGTTAAGCAGATCCCGGCAGTAAGAGCTTCAGCAGCATCAGGTCCTGCCCTCAGCACATGCTTCCCCTTCAGTGCCGCCATTTTCATGCCCCTGATCAGCGTGTTCTTCCAGCAGTGCCATTTCTCCCAGGTAGCTTCCTTTCTTTCCACCTGTTGGCCACTTCTTTTAGGAAGGGGAAAGGGTCCTGAAGGAGATAAAGGGGTGAGTGAGAAAGCATCTGTGACATTAGAGAAACTAGCCTGTAAAAATTCCTTCTGGAGATGCCTCTATTCTGATATATAAGCAAGACAGTGCAACCCCTCTCTGACCCAGGTTGTCTACCTCCCGGAATCACACAGAAGGCAGCTAGGATGTGTGTATCCAGTGTCCAATCCCAAACCATCTTTATTTTGTTCATGATCTCATTTTAGCTTGGAAGCTTTGGTGGCTGTCTATCAATCACTGTAGCATAAAAGGCTAAATTAGCAGCTCATAGAAGGTGACGCCCCTCACCGCATTTTTGTTAAATGCTATCTGTAAAATATGGTAGGTTTGTTTTATTTGTTTGTTTTCATTCTGAATCACTGCGGTTTTGTTTAATTGGGTTAGGAAATTTGTAGAAGGAACAGCTGATGCTAGACAGGAATTAGAATTACTTTAGTTTCTCAAAAGCATGTGAATCTTCCTGTGTCTAGGGTCCTGGGCTATGAAAGGTACCCCGAGGTGCTTTGTGGAGCCTTGGCTTGAAGCAGGAAATGTCTCATAGTCCCCTGGGGGCTGGGTCACAGGTGGGCACCACCATGCCTGGCTTAAAGATGTTTCATCCAGAATTTATATACACACACATTGGCCTGATTCCTGTCTCAGTGCAGGCTTCTGCCAAGCATTGCCCTGCATTCTGATGTTGCATCCTGTAAGGATGTTAGGTATTAAGACATTCCAGCCCCAATGGAAACAGTGCCCCTGGGCCGGGTGTCACTCACTGACTGCATCAGCCAAAATGACGTGCAGGAGGGACTCAGAGCCAGTCTTACGTTGGACCCCTCCTTTGTTTACACTTTATGTTGAGACATTGATTTTAAAACTTAATCTATAATTTTCGCTCATTGGAAAGATGAAGGAACATGTACTTAGAAAGCAGTATTGTTTTGTTAAATTATTCCGTTTTGTATGAACCGTAGCAGGGCTACACAAGAGCTTAAGTTATGGCATTGTTATCCTTGTGTTTACTTTATGCCGTCATCATTTTCTGTTGACCAGAAGGTGTGGCTTATGATGTAGCACAATGACTGTTTACTGCTAACCGTGAATTATTGTGGACTTTGTGGTCCTAAGTGAAGGCTGGGGATGGAGCTGCCCTTTGGCACTCCCAGCATTCCTCAGTGTTTTCCCTGGTCTCCTGAATACTGCAGCAATGGCCTGAGGAGGTGGGCTCTGCCCTGACACCCAACGAGTACACTGTGATTTTTTTTTTTACTTGATTGTAAAAGCTCCTGAATATGACCAAGTGATCAACAAGTAGTTCAAAGGCTTCAAAAGTTACAAACTTTCTAAAGTGTCTTAGAATAAAATCATGGGACTGTAAGAACAGCAAAAAAAGATTGAATGGTCAGACGGCAAGACAAAACATCTCTTTGAGGACTCATGAGGTAGTTTCAAGAGTGGACAGAGAACTGGTCACCATCTCCTTCCTACTGAGTCCCACAGAGAGACTAGAAGAGACATGTACAACACCAGCAGGATATGCTTCTGTGACTGCCTCAGGTCCCATTCCTTAGAATTAAGACTCTTCCAGTCCCACACAAAGCAGGAGCAGCTGTCTGTCCTGTGCACACTGTTAGTGACAACAGTGAGCTCTGAAGAGCAGCTTCTGCCTGCACCATTCAGTGTCCTCCCAGAAAACCCACCCAGTACCTCAGCCTTCATCAGCATTCTGCGTTCCCACCCTGCCTGTGTGGCACACTAAGGCCGCCTTAACTGGATTCACCGTTACGGGATGCCATGATATGCCAGGGATGTGGTATTTGAGTCCATTCACTGTATCGTCCAGATGGGAGTGAAGTCCACACTTCTGTAGTAGAGTTAATGAGGTTTCAGAAAAAAAAAAATGGTTCTAAACAAGGTTTAAAGGGAAGAACAGTTCTACCCCACCTGCCATGTAGGAGACAGGAAATACAAACTGTGTTTCCTTAAAACATTATCGTCATCCGAAGAACCTCGAGTGGAGAGATCAGGGAACGTAAGAGCCAATTCTTCAGTGCTGTTAGATGCCGCCATGCTTTGGTGCTTTGAGAATCCTTGCCAGACCAATTTGAAGCTTCAGCACTTACTGTGAGATGGATGGCTCGTTCTTTGGCCGGCTGTTTTTGACTGACTACTAAGATGAGTTTCATTTTGTATTGCAATCAAGCACTGGATCTTTCTCTTTTTCCTAGATCATGTCCCTAAGTAAAAATTGCTCTTAAAATAATAGCCTAGCACAGTAATGGAGAAGCCTGCGTGCACTTTAAAACATTCCCCACCACCACTAAGTTCAGAGCTTGCTGCAGGACTGGGGGCATTCTGCCCAGGACAATGAAGATGATGGTTTAAGGTGACTTATGTGGCATGCTTGAAGACTGAGTAGTTTAAGCCTTTAGTTCCACCAAGTTAATCCTGGAATTAAAGTCATTTTGAGTCAGTACTGTCTAGTGATTATTCAGGGCCATTTTGTTAAATTGTTCCCCTAACCTGCTCTGAGTGATGGAAGCAATGGCACTGGAGTTCCTTGTTACTAACGGAGGCTTGTCAGTGCTTCCCACAAGGTAGCCCTGACATCTTCCCCATGTTCCCCCACAAGGTAGCCCTGACATCTTCCCCATGTACCCCACAAGGTAGCCCTGAAATCTTCCCCATGTTCCCCCACAAGGTAGCCTGACATCTTCCCCATGTTCCCCACAAGGTAGCCCTGACATCGTCCCTGTGCTCCCCACGAGGTAGCCCTGACATCTTCTGTGAGAATGTGTTCCAGTTGATCCAGTGGTTTACTTTTTTTCTTATGCCCTTATGTCTCAAATGTTTTTAATTATATATTTTTTAATTCTTTGAGAATTTCATACATGTAAGCACTGTGCTATGATCATATTCACTCCATAACCCGCTATATACCACCTAAGCCAGCCTCCTCTCAACTTCAGGCTTTTGGATTGTTGTTTTGGTAATTCACCAAGTCCAGCTAGTGCCACCCAGACATGTGTGTGGCCGTCCACTGGAGCAAGGGACACTAACAGCAGACCACGTCCACAAAGGTGTGATTTTCCCTCCCCCAATAGCTGTCAACTGCCAATAACTCTGCAATAAAGAAAGTACCAGAGATTTCCTTCCCACATCAAATTCTCTTTTTAAGACATTCCTAGCTGGGTGTGGTGGCACATACCTTTAATCCTAGCTCTGGGAGAGGCAGAGAGGCAGACTCTGTGACTTCAAGGCTAGCCTGGTCTACATACAAGCCAGGCAGAGTGACTTGGTGAGACTCTGTCTCAAAAATTAATAATAATAATAATATCTAAGGGATTCCTGCCCCGCCCCACATATACTATGTTTATTTCTTGAAACCAAACTACCATATTTCACCATGCTGCACCTCTACCCTAAACGCTGTGGTCTGCGTATGCGCGCCCTCTTGCTCCCTGCTGATCCCTGCTACAGCCTCAGAGCAGGGCATCACTCACACCTTGCTGGAATTGGTGTACAAAGTCTGTATTGACCATTTGCGATCTTGAGTCCCCTGATGGGCAAGTACAGGGCCACGCCAAGGGTCTCCTTATGGATCTCCAAGGGGACCCAGCAGGGTGTGCCATGACAGGCGAAGGGCCACTTGCCACCAATCCCATCTCTACCCACACTGAACTGTACCGATGAGCACACTCTTCCTGTCTGAACAGAAGGTTCAGGTGTGCCATCCGTTACTTGTTTCCTCCCGAGACGATGTGAAAAATGATGTGATATTTTTATCAAGACTTTTCTTCAACTGTCAGTGTGGACTCAGTACCTTTCCAGGCAGCAAGCTTTTCTTTGCTGATGCCATAGAACAAATGTCCCAATCTGTTCACCTCCCTCTAGACTGGCCCACTGGATCCATAAATTTGCTTATCTGCTTGGCTCAATTGGTACAGCAAAAGCCCGTTTAAACAAGAATGAGCTGAACTAGGCTGCTAAGTGGAAGACCCGGTGGAACCTAGGACATTTCTCAGGGACAGTGGCTAAAGAGGGTAGCTCTCAAAAACAGAACTAGGTGAGGCTTTGAGCAATATCACATAGCAACGGAGTGATGGAAGGATTTCAGCCAGTGCCACACCCACAGATGGCAAGGCCACTGTAAGGAAGCTTCCAGGAGAACCACAGCCCTGCTTCCCAGGGCCACTGTACAGCACTAGGGGTGGATCAGCGGCATCTGGCCCTATGCTGCTCTCTGGTGATCATGGCTCTCCCATGGCTACAAGCTAGAGGGCGCAGCCACATGTGAGGGGTGGGGTGGCCACATCTAGAGCTCCACTTCCCAGAGGATGGGGAAACCCTTTGAGTCTTTTTTTTTTTTATTGTATGTATATGTCTGCCTTCTCTTTCGCCTGTCTCTCTCCCATCTATCTCTCCTCTCTCTCTCTCTCTCTCTCTCTCTCTCTCTCTCTCTCTCTCTCTCAATAATGTGAGTTCCTACTGATTGAGAGCAAACAAATTTCTTTCTAATATTTAAGTCTCAGAATGAACCCCCGAGTCTCTCTCCCGTGGCCTCAGCTCCCGGGCCCCCCCCACCCCACTCCATGTCCTTTTCAGATATCGGCTCTGGCTTTGTACTGAACAGCAATGGGAACAAGAATGATTATGAAAACAAACCAATGCATGAAATTAAACAAAAAGTATACCTTATGTTTTCTGGTCCTCTCTTTTCCTAATGGGGATGTTTGTCCTACAAGCTGTCCTGCCAGGATGTCAGGGAAAGGCAGGCTGTCCTGCCAGGATGTCAGGGAAAAGCAGGCTGGGTTCTGCAGCAGGATCCTGTTTCAGGGACAGCCACTCCAGTGTGGTTTCTGCTGTATCTTGAGTGTTTCCATAAAGGCCCAGGCAGGCCCTCCGAATCTTCCTGAGCATCCTGCTGCCCTTCCTGCAGCTGCCATTGTCAATGACATCACTCTTAAAAGAAGCCAAGAGAGGGAAATGGGAAGCTGGCATAATTCTGTCATTCTGGGAGTGAGAAGCTAAGCGAGCCTTTTGGATTGTACTTTTTCAGTCGTTCTGCTCTTCTGTTAAGGGCAGTTGTTAGTCTGCAGCATGTACAGACATGTTCTTATAGAATCTGTCTTCAATGCAGAACATTTATATTTATGGATCTGGGAAATCTCATCTCCTGGGAGCTCATACCTGATAAGGCACACTTGTCCAAGATCCTGGGGACACACATGGGGGAGTCTCAAAGGGGATAAAAAAGGTACATGTGCAAAAGGAGAAAAGTCCCTCTTCTCTCGCTCCTTCTCTATTCCAACATACTACAGAACCAGTCCTCAAAGCGCAATCTCCACCTCCCCACACCCTCATTAGAAAGCCTTCTCTTAAAAAGAAACTTTTTTTTTTAAATGAAAGAAAAGCCATGGTGTGGAAATCCACTCTTACTGTAGAACCTGAGAATGCCCCAGAATTCACACAGCACAGCAGGCCTAGAAAACCTTGACAAGACTCTCAGCGGAGCCCAGGCTTGAGACAAACACAGCAGCCCACAGGTGGTGGCTTAGAGGGCAGTTCTGCTAAGTGCTTGTCATGAATTGTTCCCACAAGGCCCAAGGCCACAAAGCAATCAGCTCAGGTGCCCAGCTGGAAGATACAATCACAGCTCTAAGTGACCACAAAACAGGTAGGCAATCACACTACCTTCTCTTCTTCGAATTAAAAAATACAACTGTTCCGCAGCTGTTCTCAGCAAATGGCAGAATAAAACCACTCATAGGGTACACTGGCTGACAGCCTCGTTTACTGATGCCATTCTCCCGACAAGAGGACGTAGAAGGGATCTCCAGGCTGAAAATATAGATGGCCATTTGATTCCGATGAGACAGAGCAGGACCTTCAGATGGGAAGAATTCCCCCCCAAACATTCAGAACATGCAAAGCTGGCTTCCATTCATATTTAATCATGTTTGAATCAGCCTAACAATCAGGACAAGGAGCTTAAACACGGATAGAAGTGTCTGTGATCAGGAGTACTGCAGGAATCGTTGCACTTAACGCTGCGTGTACGACCTAGGCAGCTTGTCATGTTTCCCTTGGCTTATGGAGAGGTAGATCATCAGCAGAAAGGTAGAGAGGACACTCTTCAACAGAGTTACAGAGGACAGGGTAACATCTGCAGGGTTAGCAGGAGCACGCCTGTCACACAGCCTGTCCAAAAAGACCACCAGTATCTTCTCTCAAGACATCTCAGGAACCCACAAGAGGCAAGCCTGACAGATACTGAATAGATTTTCTAGAAAGCGGTCCATTTCATAGAACCCGCTGAACAGGACAGAACGCCCTTCCAACAGACCTCTGCACATACTAGAGCACTGTCCACCTCATCTTTGGAGGGAAATTAAAACACAATGAGGACATTAAAAGGACCAGCAGCACAGTCCGGGGCCCGGTAAACACAGAACCCACGTCACGCGTCCTTCCTGCTGTCCAGACGGCCAGTGTTGCTTGCTTCACTCAGTGCTAGGTGCTTCTGGCTAAATTTTTTTATGAGCGTTCCAGGAACCAAAGCGACCAGGGCAATGGCCAACAGCTTCAAGACAGTCTCCCAGGAGAAGAGGGCGTCCAGAGAGGTGAGGGTAGACAGGATGGAACCCGTCTGCACGCAGATGAAATTGTATGGGATCAAACCTGGGAAATGGAAAGTGGAGGCAGTCATTAATGGGGCAGGATGGCCAGGGATTCAGAACAGGGGACCTAGCTGTCTGTCTAACTCTTAGCCCCTCCCTTTTCTCCCCACACTTCCTGTACACACTTGCTTTACCTGACATGACATGAATGACAAAAGGCATTCAGATATGCCACACAACTACATATATATCACCATAAGCAAAATTTACTTATCACACAGGGAAAAAAAAAACTCAGTAAGCTGACCTTTCCCATATCTGTTTTAGAGAAGAAAAGCAAGGTCATTTCTCATATAAAGTTCTTTGCTTTTACATATACAAGCTGCTGAAGTCTGCACACTTGCTTAAGGTGGGACCTAAGAGCCAAATGGGAGGAAAGAGTCTGACAACATGAAAGTTTCGGCATTAAAACGTCTCAATACCCAGCAAACAAAACAAGTTTCTCCCAAGTACAACTTTGTACGCTCTGCACTCTGAGAACAGCACAGCACAGGACTCCAAAGGCTGGTAGCTAGACAGCGTATAGCATAACAATTCCTTAGAGTCAGGCTTGGTGACACATGCTTCTAATTTCAGTAAAAGGATGCTGAGGCAGGAGAATAACAACAAATTCAAGTCCAATCTGGACAACAAGCTCAAAAATAAAAACAACTAAGAACTCTGTAATGTTTAAGAAACAAAAACATGTACGTCAGGCAAAACAGAGCATGCCTTTAGCACAGCATGCAGGAGGTGGAGGCAGGTAGGTCTCGGTGAGCTCCCAAGTACCCTGGTCTCCACTGAGAGTCAGCCAGAGCTCCGCAGTGAGACCCTGTCTCAAAGGGAAATCTGAAGCCAAATGTGGCGGGTGCCTATGGTCCTGTCACCTGGACGGCTGAGACAAAAAGACTAAACGCTTGAGGCCAGATCATGCTATATTGCAAACGAAACAAATAACAAGTCAAAATACATTCTTAGGCATCTACCTCAGAGACTTGGTTCCTTGCTTCTGCAGCATATCAGAAGCCTCTTCCCCGCCCCCACCCCTGAGCTCAGCTGAAGAGGTGTACAGGAGACAACAGTCAGAGTATCCAGGTCACACAGCTTGGCTCTCAGGAAGGAATTCTGTCTCCAGAGTCTTTCCATGCTGGCAACGATTCCGTAACGACAAGCTGTTAAGCCCCATTAGCTGAGGTGCTGAAGTACTACTCAGTTCTGCTTCCATCAGAACTGGCTGTGGTCAGCCTCCTTCCGCTTCGCTCAGATGTCCCTATTAATAACCCCTGCCCTGCTGCACATTTGTTAACTTGGACATTAGACCCTGAGCATCAGTCCCTCCACACTCTGAGAAAGGTCTGGGTACCTCTGCCCATGGTTTCAGGAGGGTAGTAATTTACTGCAGTGAGACATTAACACCCATGATGGGATGCTATCACTTTAACTTGCCAGTAAAGGAGGCCTGAAGCCCACATGTCAAGAAACACTGCTCCTAACCCAAGCTCTAATCCAGTTACGTGATTTCCTGAGGAAAGTGGCTCGCTAATGGCTGTGCTGTTCTCAGAAGGTAGACTGGAGCCTCCTGATGCTGGGCCTCCCTTAGCAAAGGGGCTGGTGCCAGAAAGGAAGTCCCTTGCTCTGAGCTAGCCTCTCAGCCTGTAGCACTTCTTGGAGCCAAGCCATGTGCTTTACAGAAATGATCCTGTCCAATCCCAGTGCTCAACACATGCAGGGCACACAAGAAACACTGTGGGCACGGGATGAACAATCCTTAGTTGTATGGGTTTCCTATTGAAGCCAGCGGAGGTTTGAAATTAGAGAGACAACCGTGTCAAGTCCAGACTTGAAGAATGCTGTTCACAGGCAAGCACATGGCCCAGTGGCCGGTGACGAGGGCAATGTCATTACGACAGCCCTACCCCCACTCCCATCTTACCGATAAGCACTGAGAAGAAAAACTGCACAATGGGGATGTTCAGTATCGGGGCCGAGAGGTTCAAGAACCAGTTTGGTGTCATGGGGAAGAGTCTGAGAAACAGCAGGAAAAAGAACAGGCTGTTTCTGTTCTCCTCCACCTGCAGAGAGACCAAGCCCAGCGTCAGGAACAGAACTGGCTCTCCAGCAACACCTGAAGCTGGACAGCTCCTTCCCAACTCATGCTGCACAAGTTCCCTCCACCTCCCACCCTAACCCCCAGACATGGTGGCTCACACAACCCCAGCACCCGGGAATTCAGGAAGCTGAAACAGGAGGATTACACTAGTTTGAGGCCAAAAAAACAAAAACTGGGTTGGGGATATAACTCAGAAGTAAGGTGCTTGCCTTGTCAGAATAAGGATCTGCGTTTGGTCACCAGTACCCATGGGAAACAAACAAACAAGCCTACACAGAGGCATAAGCCTGGGTTCCCGGGCCTGGGAGACAGGAGGATCCAATGAGGCCTGTTGGCCAGCTACTTAGCCAAACCAGTGAGGCTCAATAAAAGACTCTGTCTTCAAAAATAAAGTAGAGGCCAGGTGGTGGTGGCGCATGCCTTTAATCCCAGCACTTGGGAGGCAGAGGCAGGCGGATTTCTGAGTTCGAGAGTTCGAGGCTAGCCTGGTCTACAGAGTGAGTTCCAGGACAGCCAGGGCTACACAGAGAAACCCTGTCTCGAAAAAAAACCAAAAAAAAAAAAACAAAAAACAAAACAAAAGTAAAAAATAAAAAAATAAAGTAGATAGTGATTAAAGAAGGTATCAACAATAAACCGCTGGCTTCCACGTGTACTCACACATACACAAGCCCACACACATGCACCCAAAATTAAATGAAGTAATAAATAAATTCATTGTGCCCGGGAACTGGAGGAGTCAGAATCTCAACTCAAAGCCACAGAGCAGGTAATAACAAGAACTTTAGGAAGCACAGACCCGTGACCAGACATCAAAAGAACAAACCCTTCCCAGCTCCCAGGTGGGGCGGAGGAGCACTGTGGGAAATCCTGGCTCCACATTGCTCTCTGCCCATGAGCTGATGCTCGGGGACCCAGTGCTCAGGTGT